GAGAGAATATTTCACAGATGAGGACCAGGATAAAAGTCTCAGGCAAGCTACAAAATAAAAGAGAGCGGGAGCGGAACGGAAAATATTTTAGAAAAAAGCCATATGAGTGCGTGCAAATAAATAGAAGCGGGGGGCGGGGGAGGGGGCTCGGCCAAAGCACCCGGAGTGGTGAGAGAATAAGCAGGAACTCTTCTTTCAGCGAACGTGACACACACACAAGTCTTGGGCCAGGGCCAGGAGCCGCGGAAACTACAGCAGTGCGCCCAGGAGCCGATGCTCCCCACCCTCAGTGGGTGCGGGAGAGGGCGAGCCCCTCGGCTGGGCTGGTCCCGGAATAAGCAGCTTGCCCTAAGTGCTGTCCGAGTGGTCCGGCTGGCCGCGGCGGGCCAGGCACAGCAGTCCCGCGGCTCACTGCATCCTCGCTCCGAGGGGACACCGGGGACTGGCGCTCAGCCGGCTTGGCCAGGGTAGCGCGGGGCTCCGAAGGCAGGACGCGCGCATTGTCAGCTCCCAGGGACTGCCGCTACCTCATTGCTTCCCTCCGGGGGCATCCGACTCCGCTTCGGGGTGCTCGGCGGTCTGCAGCGCGCCCTCTGTGGTCATACGCGCAGTGGCCGGCTTGCCCGCCTCACATCATTGCCGTCCGGGAGGAAGATCTCGGGTTAATATAGGCCGGCGCGAACCATTCGCCGAGCGGACAGGGGAGGAGCATCGAAGAGGATCCATAGGGCTGCGACGCCCACGCATTTCTGGCCTCTTAAAGGGGCCCAGTTACAAGCACTAGTCAAGGGAAAGGGAAGACTAGTCCAATTAGGCAATCCCGTCCCAAATTTATCAGCATCTCTTTTATGTATAGAAACCACAAAGAACTGGAGTTACCCGGTAGCAAAAGGGACTTAAACTTTGACACTCCACCCTAGGCTAAATTGCAACTCACTGAACAAATGTATGTCTAGATCGAAACTTCTGGAGGAGGTGATGAGATTGTAGACTCTAATTCCCTGTACAAAAAGGTTGGGGATTTTTTTTTTTTTTTGACAGCTTCAAGAGAATGTGCAGGCTCTGTTCTCTGCTATTCTTAAATAATCGTCTATTAAAGAAAAAACAAGAGTTAAGGACTTAGTTGTTATTGTCTTGGTGCCGTTTATCCACAGGTGAACTGCAGGTCGTGAAGAGTGAGTGGCAAGATGACTGGAGGGAACAAAATTGAACACAATAGTGAGTGGTCGATAAGCTTTGGGATTTCCAGTTCCTACCCTCGACCCAATAATACCCTCTCCTGCCACACACCCTCAGAGTGTGGGGTACTTTTTTTTGAGATATATGACATTTCTAGGTAAGGCTGTGTTGCTGTTTGTAGACCCATCGGTTTTATTAAATCGCTCATACACATTGGATGAGAATTCTTAGGGAAAATTCAAATGATATTTTTTCATGTGCTAACTGAACAATGTGGGGTTTGTTTGTTTCCCTCTCTTTCTACGTTTTCCCCCCATCCTTTGAGACAGGATCTTGCTTTCTAGATCAGGTTCTCCTCAAACTCAGATCCTCTTGCCTCCAGCTCCAGAATTACAGGCATGCATTTCCATGCCTGGCTCTGGACAAAATACTTTTTAGTCTCTCACCAGCTTGCCCCTCTGCCAGTAAGTTATTTGTGGGCCCTCTTGAAACAACCTACTTGACACTAGGGGCCATTCAGTCCAAGCAAAATGACTTCTATTTGCTGAATGAGACATGCAAATTTACAGAAATTTTTTTTTACTGAGCTAAATTCAGCCAGAAAAAAACCAAAGTCCTCTGAGAATCCAGGAGAAGAAACAGTTCACTGTGACTAAGAAAATCAAAAAAGACTCACGGAGGGGTCATGTTTGAAAGATGATTTCACCAAACAGGAGGAGAATTGGAGGGCTTTCTGAGAGTAGGCAAAATTACAGGATGGAGGTGCAAGCATTCATGTAAGATACGATAGAGTCAATGATGATAACAATAAAAGAATGTTTCCCTATCTAAGAATTTTTATCCTGACAATGGATTAAAAACCCTTCTGCTCTCTGGAACAGCCGTTCTCAACCTTCCTAACACTTCAACCCTTTGATACAGTTCCTCATGTTGTAGTGACCCCTCCCACTATAAATTATTTGTTTCTACTTCATAACTGTAATGTTGCTACTGTTGTGAATTGTAATTCAAATATCTGAGATGTAAGATGGTCTTAGGTGACCCTGTGAAAGGGTTCTTTCAGTCCCCCACTCCCGCCCCTCAAAAAGGGTCATGACCCACAGATTGAGAACTACAGCTCTGGAGAAAGGAATGACCCTTACATGGCTGGCTGGGCCTATGAAGCCTCTTAATTAGGGTCCTACTGCCTTACTTCCTGACTGTGTGGATGGGTTATTGGGGAGATTCCAGACACCTCTATGGAATGAACTACAATTCTACTAAAGCATCAAACCATCACTGATTTTTCTTTTCTACTGAAATGGCTGGAATATCAGGGAGTGACAATCATGATAGCTTATAATCCAAAGGACAAAAATATTCTAGAGGAAGCATATCGACATAGCCTCAGCTGAATGGCCTCTTCCTGATCTATAATCCCAAAGTCTGAATTCTAAAGTAGACCGCACACTCAAGCATTTCCACATGGCTGGAATGTCCAAGGGCCAGAAGGGCTTGCGGGAGGAAGAAAAGGACCAATACTGGTCTCACAGCTCTGGAGACATGGCCATGAGCTACACACAGTGACCAAGAAACCAGGGACAATGTAACAGGGAAGCATCCACTGGCTACCACAGCTCTTGGTGATAGCCAGAGTGTCAGCGCCAGATGTACAGGCTGTGTCATGCCTAGCTACCTATTTAATAAGCTTCTTTCGATCTTGGGAGAGCAGAAAGGTTCTAGGCAAATGAGAGCATCCCATGTGTGAGTCATGTCATGGGCTTGTGCTCTAAGACCCAGAAGGGAAACCTAGCTATCTAACTCCTCCAGGCCTGAACGTGGCGTCTGCCTACCTTGCCTCCTGGAGAGCCCCACCACCCTTGCAGAAAGCACCCATCACAACTAGGCTACATCTCCTCGGTGGGAGGGGGGAATGGGAGACAGGACAGCATCTGAGATCCAGGGCAGCTGTAGGAGAGTACCTCCTCCAAGAGTCCATTGAGAAACCGGTTAGACGCTAGTACTGTACTTTTAATGTCACTACTCCATCTACTGGTAGCAGACCAAACTGCCATTTTCTCCTAAAGCTGGACAAGCCAGTGATTCAATCAACAGAGCCAAGGCACAGCTGGAAGGAAACACTGCTCACGGGAGTGCCAGGCTGGCCTTTGGCATCTGAGAACCAGCCTTTTATCTCCTGGAGGGCTTTGGACTAGTTTTCTGTCACCTTGTGTTTTGCATAAGGCTCCTCCATCGCTATCCTCCTCCCCTGATGGATGTCCCACTAAATAGGTATTGACTTCAAGGGAGACAATGGTGAGTCTTCAAGTCCTTCGAAAAATATTTGTTGAAAGTCTGCTGTGGTGATGACGTTTCTGGGAACAAAGCAGTAAAGACATCTGGGGTGTTTGTTTTCCTGGGAGTGATAGCCCGTGGAGAGGCAGATAACCAGCTAGTGATAAGTCGCTAGTGAACAGGTGCCAGGACTAGGAGTGAAACTGGCTGCTTTCAAAGCAGGAACACTGAAAACCCGAGGGAGCCAGACCTCAAAGATGAACACTGGCCTGCACCAGCCAGGAAAGTGGGCTTTTGTACCCGTTGAGCACCCAGAGGCAGTTGGCTCAAGTTGAAGAAAGCCATGAGCATGCTTTTGATGACTTAGTAAGACAAAAAGTTGTAATCGTTTTATGTGGATTTTATGCTGAATAACAGTATTTAGGCCACAGTGAATTAAATCGAATGCATTGCATTAAAATTAACTCTGCCTGTTCCCCTTCCTTCCTTACTGTGGCTATAGGGTTACACACAGGCAGTGTTGTCCTAAGCAAAAGGCACAGCTCACGTGGGGGCCTTTAGGTTTTTTAATAAGCTAAACTGACTCAGGGAATTCCAAGCTTCTTCGTCCCATTCCATAATCCTAACCTCTTACTCTTCCAGCCCTTTGTCCTTGACTTCTGTCACGTCAGTTTTCAACCTTGGCTTGGTCGCTGCCACCTTTGCTAGCATTAATGAGAGGCCGTTGAGTTGTTGGAAGTGCTGCCCTTAGAGGAGATTACCACAGTTTGTGTGGGACCCCAGTCACTTTCCACCACTATGAAAGATACCGGCTGGCCCTCGGATCTTTTCCCAGCTTCAAGTCTCACCGAGTGATTTCTGTCATGTGTAGGCTCTCACATATTGCCGTCTGCCACAACATGATTCAAACAACGGACTACTTGGCAGAGCCCCAGTGCCGTGTTGTTTAGATTTTAGGCTTCCTTTCCTTCCTTGGAGGTCTCACCATTCAAACATAACAGATTTGATGACATGTTGGTAAGGTGAGGTCTCGCTTGTCTCCACTAGGTCGTCTTCATATGAATCCATTGGTTATAGGCTTTTGTTTTATGGGCATTCTTTCTTTTTTAAAAAAAATAATGGTTTTTAGTTGATGT